GCATGCGTTCTCACACCACTCTGTACGTACTACAATCAATGCGATTTTACCGGATACGACCTTTTTCTGTAAAACCACACACGTGAAAGCTACAAATAAAGTAATTACAACTCTCTATACTTGATGCTCTTCTCAGATTTTCATTGTGTGATTACAATGGTCAGTGTATTAGTCGGAATTATAAATTACAATATATTTCCTAAGGCGTTTTCTTCGTATCACAGTGTTGCGCGTAGAGTGAATCATCCAACGTTAATGCCTGTGTACTGTTATCTTTCGCGTCCGTGTTCAGCGAACGATTAACTTTCGCGATAGTGGTCTCGCGGAAGTTCGTTGTGCCTAACAAACGTCTCGGTCGTCTATTAACATCCACCTGTTTCAGGATTCGTCCCAACGAGTTGTCCGTTCCAGTCATGATCGGAGACAGGCTAAGGGTCGGCGTTGTTCGTGACTTGGTAATACGACCGCCCCTAGGTGATCTCATTATTTGGTCGTTAGTTCTGCGCCTGGCAGATTTTAATTTAACGCTACGTAACATATCCAGTGAGACCACTGGTCCCCTCGGTCCTGGTATAGTATTCCTTCTATTTTCCTGAAATACAAATTTCCTCCTGGATTCACAGTTTCGAACATTTTCAGGACGTACACGATGCTAGAAGAAACCACGAGATTCTATTCAACCGGAAGATATTCAGAGGGTAGACTACCGATCCGATAAAAGAAGTACCACAGTCGAATTTAATGTTCTCGCGGTATTGTTCATTTAAAGTTCAAGGGTCGTGATAATCGACGTCTTTCCTTTGATCGCTCAAGTGTATTGTTCTGGATAAATGGTATCAATCATTGACAACGCCGTCTTGATCTACGGGATAAATAATATCCAGTGTTATAGATTTCTAAGAGAGTTAAGAGGGCTGCGCTAAGAATCCTCATTATACCACGTTAGTCTCCGCTCGCAAAGTTTACCTTGAGACTTTTAAATAACCCCCCAAGTATCCGGTTGAATGGCAACGAAGGCTGAGAAACAATTAACTCGCGGTTGAAAATTGTGTCACTCTAATAAGCGTATGGATTATAGTGCATTCTTCTTGAAAGACTTCCCCTTAAGCATGCTAAATTAGTATTGCGAGACGGTAACATTAAAAAACAAAAGGCAAGATGAAAAGTAAAGGTCATTTTTCATATGAATCTTGTTTCGCGGGATCTTGGTATCTTCTATTGTCTCATACTTGAGTTAGTGGGACGAGTGGAATCAATCTTTACGATTTACCTTAACATTCTGCGGTGCTTTTTTTAGGGTCACCTTCAGCAAATCCTCGACAGTTATAGCTGGCCTATTAAGCAACGGCGTTGAGCACTTTCTCGAGGGCGTACCGACGCTTTTGTTGCTGTTTGGGGTGGTCGGTGTAATCGACTTTACCGGTGACTGAAATAATAGAGGTGGTGGCGGTGGAGGTGGCGGAGGCGGTGGCGGTGGTGGCGGAGGAGGTGGAGGAGGACATGTTGACATTGATGAAATTAAAATCGATGATATCGGTGGAGGCGGTGCTGAAACTTTCGGAGACCTTGTTCTCGCATCGTCCAATGTCCTCTGTAATTTCTTTAGCTCCTGCATCATTGTCTCGTTGTTTTCAGCCAATTTCTTGCTAATGTCCTGTATATTACGGATCTCTTCGGTTAGAGCGGCAGTCGTTGCGACGTTATTTGCGCGTACCTGCAAACAACTTGAGTTTAATGACTTCAACGTACAGCGAGTGAAGTATACTTATACTTTATGCACTTCTTCAACGTATAAAGATTCGATTCATTTACCTGAGTAATCTCTTGAGCCAGATAATTCACCTTCTCCAGAAACGTACTAATCATTTGCTCGTTCTCAGACTGTAATCCTGTAGCCACTTGACGGAGTTCTTCGAGCTTCTCCGCGTTCTCCCTTGCGGAAAACATCAAGATCGTCTCTTTGAACCGGATATAATTCTAAAACAATTGTTCAATAATTATGATTGCACTCATGTAGGAGAATTTATAACATTACTTACTTTTCTAAAGGCACTCGCTAGCTTCTTCATCAGCCAGGTGCAGAAGACAATTATTTTCAGCAGAGGTTTTCTAGAAAATAGAATTCGTGGCGATTGATTCTGTTTGGAGATGGAACAGGTGCATCTCTTGTAGAATTCGATGTTTGCTTCAGGCTGAAAGTAAAATTTATTATCAATAAGAATATTAATTTGAGAAGCATACGTAAAATCGACTACTCTAATTACATCGTGCAAATTTCTGCTGCAACCACCAGAATCCGAGATAACGGGTAAATCCAGACTAGAAGCTGTGGGAGATTCGAACGTGCTCAATGTGATGAACGCTGATTGCGATTGCTCTGTTTTTTCCTCATTGTCAAATCTCAATGTAGTCCTACACTTCTTGGCAGGCGGTGGCGAACCGCTGCACGGCGTAGGCGAACGATCTCTTCTTGTCAGATCGTTTCGAATCTCCTTGTACCGTTGGTACTCCTCCACTTTGTCATCCACCTCGACGACCTCCACGAAAGGACGTTTATTTGAGCGTGCAGTAGAATCTTTTTGCAATGCTAGGAATGGGGTGTACTTCGGTAAAAGACCGGCAATTCCCTCCTGACTTGTAGTTCCTACTTTGAAGCTGTTCAGTTGCCGCAGGTTGGAGAGGATCCGCTTGCAATCGCTCCAATTGGCAGAAAACAGATTGCCACTCGACTCCTGCGGAGTCTTCTCTTTCACCGTCTCAAACTTTGTATCTTGGTTCCTTCGCTTGTTCCATGTTTCATAGCGTTTGGTGTTTTTCGTTTCATCCTCGGACTGACTAGCAAAGAAGATGTTTGAAAAGGATTTGTCGTCTTGCAAGTAGTCGCATTTGTTCATGTCCAGTTTGATGTCTTCGTTCAACGACAACGTTTTGTCCAATGGGAAACAGGCTTTTGGGGATGTATCGACATTTTTTAATGAATTGTTGCTTCGCTCGTAATACTTGTCCATGTCATTCGAATCCGAGTTCCTTCGTCGACGCTTGTGTGCAATCTCTGGACTTAAGTCATCGTAACAGGACAACTCCAGTTGTTGTGGTTCGAAGAGCACTAATTCTGGGGAACGGTGCTCCAAAAGTTGCTCCAATGATCCCCCGTTTTTCCTTAACGGTGTATCATTATTTCCAATGTTATCAATTCTGTCGTTCGAATCTGATTTTTGCAACAGCATCTCCTGCGATTGACGAAGGCCTTGATTCCATCCTGATCCATTGTAACTTCTACGTTTTACCATGACAGTATGCTTTTTAAGAGCTCCACTTTTTTATGTTCAACGTGTACATTGAATTAATTAATATTTAATAACGTGGGATAGATTAACATCTCAGGAATAAAAATATTTCTTTGAACAACATCTCTAAAATTAAGAACACTCGTTTACTCTTAGAATCACACGTTCCGCTTTAAACGCTCTGTTCTGAATCCGAATCTGATTTGAACTACTATTAAGGACGGTTATATTTGTTAGACGTACACTTGACATTGTGCCGAAGGTCTATTATTGAAATGATTATTTGTTTTGATACAGGTAGCTCGACTGTTGGCTTTACGAGTAGCCTCAGAGTTTAATATATCCCGTTTCAAAGTTGACTGGCGCTTTTCTATGTCTTTTGTAATGTAGAATAAGAGGAAGATTATTTAACAAGCGACGGAGGTAATAGTGAAAACAATTTTTATTCTGTTTACGTTCGAAGATCGTTTTATTTTAAATTAGCTACATCACATTCCATGGTTCAACATAATTTTTTTTGTTTTTAAGTGAAATCTATGAGTATTGCTTGTTGAGTAATAAAACTGTTTGGCTCGTCTCCCGAATTTTGTACGTTTCTTTACTTATTATACAGATTATGAGACAGGTTCATCTACTGACTGATAAGGCGAAGAGATTCAGGCCCTTCGGGCCTCCGTTCGTGTACCACATGAGAACTGTTGCAACGAATACTGATATTCATTGATTCCTTCTTGCTTATGATTAACCATGCTATCTTGTCTGTTGATTTTCAGTATTCACTTCTTGTTCACGAAATCCACTCCCTTCTGAATGTTTTTCTTGAGTTCCGGAATAGCGTCATCCAACAGCTGCTTTTCATAGCTGCTGAGAGTACCAAGGCCAAGGTTCTTCTCAACTCCCGATTTCTAAAATTAAACGTGAATTGAGTATCTTCTATAAAAACTGATGCTTCATTTTCGTAACGAATTCTACTTACGCCCAACAGAACAGGCGTCGAGAAGTATGGGGACGCTGTAACGTCGGATTTAACGTAAGCGCATTCAACGATATTCGATTCTCCGTTGAGTGCTTTAATCAACGACAGACCGAATCGGGCACCCGCGTATGCCATTGACAATGTAGCGGAGCCTGTACCAGCCTTTGCTTTGACAACCTCTGTACCCGCTTCCTGAATTCTCAAGGTAAGAGCTTTCAACTGATCATCTGGGAAAGAAACTGATGGTTTGCACTGCGAAATCAGTGGAATAATAGTGATGCCGCTGTGTCCTCCGATTACGGGAACAGACGTCTTCTGTGGGTCAAGGTTCTGGAAAGAGATTCAAATGATTTATTTGAATCTTATACATCTACCGAATTCTATCATGTACATATATTCTGAACTAACTTTAGCTTCAGCAATAAATGTATTTGCCCTGACAACATCCAACGTAGTTACACCGAATAGCCTCTTAGGATCAAAGACACCAGCCTTCTGCAGTACCTCGGCAGCAATGGGCACTGTGCTATTAACTGGATTAGAAATAATGGCAATAAGCGCCTTTGGGGATGTACTAGCCACAGCCTGGACAAGATCCCTTACTATAGATGCATTTGTATTGAACAGATCATCTCTAGTCATTCCCGGTTTACGTGGTACACCAGCAGGTATAATGACTACCTATAAAAATGCATATGAATGATAAAAGAAGTTGAAAAAGCATTACTTTAGACAAACGGAATGAATGCGTTCTTGAAAAAAACATACTTGAGCCCCCTTAACCGAATCCTTCAATTCATCAGGACCGGTGAAAGCCTTCACTTTTGAATTTGTGTCCATGTGTGAGAGATCAGCGGCGACACCTGGCGTGTTCACGATATCATATAAAGATAATTCAGTAACGAGGGGCGACTGTTTCAAGAGCAACGATAGCGGCTGGCCGATTCCACCGCTGGCACCCATAACGGCGACCTTGGCATCGCGCTGAAAGATAACACAAAAATGAATAACGATTAATCGACTGCATTTTTCAACCAATCAGAATATCGTGATGAATTCACTTTTCGAGCACCGCATTTGATTACATGCGGGTACCAGTAACGTCAAGAATAAAAGTTGAATAACGTCCAATCATATGACCATCGGTGCTATTGTATAATAGCAGTGCAATTACTAGCTGCACAGTAACGGCGGATACTGAATTTCACTACCTGAACTTTTTACATTTCATTCTTGCTATAAGGCAAAAAGTGGTTGCATAACTATTTTCAACATCTATCTCTGCGAAGATAAGTGATCAACCACAGGAACGAGGAGCAAGAGTCTTTAAAAGAATTTTTTCCGCCTATAGAATGCATAATGAAATTTACGAGTAGAAGAAGAAATGTTTTTTTACCGGTTATGTTTTCTGAGTTTACAAAACTTACTCTAGCACTCGTCGAGAGCCCCTTTGCTCCCTGCTGAGCGACGGACAACGTGGGCTTCAGGAATCGTGGCAACATGTTCGCAGCGGTACTTCTGGCACAAAAGTGACGGATTTCAAGTTCGAGAAGACGACGTTCGATAACCTTTCAAAGACACCCTGGTGACCTCAATAATATTCCACGTTCGTTCCGTTTCCCCCTAACCAATCAGATACGAATGTACCGCAAAATACGTATGCAACCATGCGCGTTTTCGCGTGATTAATTTGCGCACGTCTGTAGCTAATTGCATTCTATCGGGCGGGAACTTTTAAAAAAAGCCGTTGTTATTTATAGGTGTACTTTGCACAGTGTGCATTATCAAATACATACTGTTTCTTTTATATTATCATATGACAATCGCCAGCAAGTGTTTCATGAGAGCTGAAGAATCTTAGAACACAATCACTGAAGGTGACTATAAAAATGGGAAAATGCTATCGTGTATGCATTATGGGAATAGAATAAAAAAGTTGACTGTATTTAAATAGGTCTGATTTTAATTGTGTCTATTGAATACTCATTATTTCAAAGAGACACGAAACTTATTTGCAATTCTAACCATAATTCTAATTTAATGAGCTTGGGTAGTTTATTTCTCAATGAATCTGTGTGGGATACTTGTAACATAATTCTGTACTCGTTTATTCAAATGTTTGCGAGCCGTTAAGGAGACTGACTTAATAATTGAAAGATGTTGCTAAAAAACAGTGCTTATGACTGTTAGGCATAGTAATTACATAAGTTCGGTTAATAAAAATGACAAACGGTAAGTTGAGGTTATTTAACCTATGATCAACAATGGTTTTATCGTATATAAATTTGTATATATCGATTGATTTATTTCAGAAATAGAAACAAGCTTGTTGACAATAATACTGGATGTGAATCCTGTGCAAAGAATAGTGAAACAAGAAACAAAAGTGCTAACACAATGCTTAGACTCCACTATTGTCTTTGCCGATGCACATTTAATGCAATCATCCAACAATCAGCTTGCCATGATAGCATGTCACAGTTATGGAGCAAGATTTTTATATCCTTGCGAGAAACTTTCAGAAATTCGACAAATCGATGGCCAGTATGAAAAGTTTACAATGGTAGAACGTACAGTTAGACAACAATTGCAACAAGTTATCAATGAAGTTTCTATGGATAAGCCTTTAAATGGGGAAAGTCTGATATCTGGAGCGTTGACCATGGCACTCTGTTATGTTGCAAGATTAGAAAGAGAAAAAGTTGCTGGTCAAAAATTATATTCAAGAATTCTTGTGATCACAGCTAGTAATGATTCAGCTACTCAATATATGAACTACATGAATATATTCTTTACTGCTCAGAAAATGGTTTGTTATAGTACTTCTATTTAATGCTACACAGTTGGAAATATAGCTAATGATTTTCCATTTGTACATGTAGGGAATAATAATAGATGTTTGCAGTCTAGATCAGGAATTGACTTTACTTCAACAAGGTTGTGATATAACTGGTGGAAATTATTTAAAAGTTCCTCAATTGAATGGATTATTACAATATTTACTAGTAAGAGAAATGCTATATACATTTTTATTTTATCCGTGTATATTGTGTCATTATGGTTAAGAAAAGAATATTTGTTTGTTTAGTGGATATTTCTGCCAGATCCAAATGTTAGGTCCAAGCTAGTACTACCTCCCCCAGTGAAAGTGGACTACCGTGCAGCATGTTTTTGCCATCAAGAACTAATAGACATTGGATATGTGTGCTCAATATGTTTATCAAGTAAAAAAAAACTTAAATCATGTTATTCAACACATTCCTATATAGACAATTACAATACACTGATTTTTTTTACAGTATTTTGCAAATTCAGTCCAATATGCACCACTTGTCAGTAAGTAATAGAACTAATCTATTATGATTATGTACATTACAGATATTAAAAAAATAATGAGTATTTTTCATTATTCTCTTGCAGCACTGTATTCAAAATGCCAGGACCTATACCTATGAAAATGAAAAAGAAGAAGAAAAATGTAGATATAGTTCACTAATTGTATTTAATTTACAATTTTTAAGCCATAGGAATTTTTTATCTAAATACATATTTTCTCACCATAAATATCATATATGAGTTATAGTAATTAATAAGGGAACTGTTTCGTTAGAGACCTCTGCAGTAATAGATTTTATCCACATCTTCTGCAACTTTCTGTTGAAATTCCTTATATTCAGATTCGCATATCTTCAGTAATGCAGAACTCATCGAGCTTAATGATTCGAGAGTATTATTATTGAATACTTTGATATGCAGATGTTAAATTAAGATTATTTCTTACTTGTATCGAGGAAAAAGTGCAAGGGATGTAGGAATCGCAAACAAACACCTACCAAACAAATTTTTATAAGGATTAAGTAAGTTAAATAGAAAAGATGAAAATTACCCAACTACACAGAAAATAATCTCGATCGGATACATGATCCATTGTCTTCGCTGATAAAAGCAGTATGGTTTGATCGTTTGCGTGATTATTGGAATGAACAGTAAGCATGGAACACACATCGCTATTCGGGTGAGAACGCATTCGGAAATAGCTTTTATCGCTGCTACTTTGGAATGCATAAATGGTTCTTGTGTACTTCCAATGAAAAGTGGAGTACCTTTAACTAGTTCGTTTTGACGCATCAATGGCAGATTTGTCATGTGACCGGCGGCAACCGCTAAAAAGGGTACGCATCTCTAAAAGCCGAAGAAATGTACAAAAATCGAATGAAGATGGCATTGAAACAAAACTGTAACAAAGAACTGACTTCAATTGTTGGTCCTCTTCGGTGCAAAAGCTTTTTACAACCAATAGTTACAAGGGAACTGGCTAAAACTGCACACAAAAATGCTATTTTTGTGGAACTTTTATCGTCAGAATCTCGATCAGTTATTGCATTTCTATTAGTATAATTTACAATGGCATTGTGCGTCTGATTAATCATCTGACACAATAGAATAGCAGTTGTACTTCTAATAAATGCATATAATGTAGAACAAAATCATTTTTTTATCAGTAAAAGAGGCTTTAAATGGTTTACTTGTAAAATGTTAACATTGTTGTTGTAATAATAACAGATGAAGGTAACTGAAAGGACATTCTACCAAGTATACACATTAATTGACCATTATCTGGATGAAAAGCACTGTCTCTGAGTTTTTTCGCGTATATAATATCTTTCATTGTAGCAGAAGCAGGTATTTTGTCATTTCTAAATGATATATGAAATTAACTTCAACAATTATTACAATGTATATATGTTGCAGTTTGATTACCTGTAGTTTTCACAAAACTGTTTGGCCTCCAATAATTTTTTCTTAGGTTCGATAATGGTACGGCAGTCAGAAATAAAAGCATAATGTTTCCATCTACCAATATAAGTAGATTGGTCCCACAATGGTTGATCAATATCAATTTTGTTGGGATTCATTATCGAGTGGATTCAACAAGAAATTCAAAATCAATTGTAATTCTTGAATACATACTTTATTAATAATTTTATTTCATAGCTGAATCTATTCTATTACTATAATGTGTGCTTAAAGGAAACGAAACGATGTTATTTCAGATAAAAAAACCATGAGTTTAAACAAATTTGCGCATACTGTGAAATTATCTGTTATTTATAGCGATTACAACTTGTTTTTTATTGTACATGCAATACCAATAACTCTTTGTTCCAGCAAATATCTGAAGGAACTGAATTAGTTATATTATCTATGGTACATATTACGCTTAAGATACGAAACAATTTTTATTTTTTTTTTAATATTTCATACACAATATTTTTTACAGGCGAGAGCAACAAGCTGCAAAGAAGCTATCCAAAAATGGGAAGAAAAGTCTGGTTTAACAGCTAGTGGACAGAAGGAAATTAATTTATCTTTTCAATGGCCTCCTATTGAGAAAATGGACAACAATTTAGCATCACTAACAGCTGTAGAGTTAGTATATAATTATTTATTGCATAACTAGCTATAATACAGATACGATTTTCTGCTCCTTAGAAAATTATCACTTTCCACGAACATGATAGAGAAAATCAGTGGTATTAATTCTTTGAAGAATTTGAGAATTTTATCTCTAGGCCGCAATAACATTAAAACATTCTCTGGTCTAGAAGCAGTAGGAGAGCATTTGGAAGAACTATGGATATCTTATAATCAAATTGAAAAAATTAAAGGTGTCAATGTTTTAAAAGCTCTTAAAGTGCTTTATATGTCCAACAATTTGGTGAAAGATTGGGCAGAATTCAATCGTTTACAAGAAATACCTCATCTTGAAGATCTATTGTTTATTAACAATCCGATCTGCGAGAATGTAGATATAGATGTTTGGCGCGGTCAAGTTGTTAAGAGGCTTCCTAAATTAAAAAAACTGGACGCTATACCAATCGTTTAATATTTGGAAATTATGATATTAACATGTAACAGTAATTTGATGAATTTTAAATAAGTAAAAAAAAGTTAAGTCTTATTAAAAATCTTGCAATGAGATTGCGCAACGTGTATTATTTACATAACTTTATAATACATTTTTTTTCTTCAATTATAATACATCATATTGACATCATTGATAATCACATACAAATCTTCTTTGTAAATAATCAATAGTTCTCAACTTTCATATCATTCAGGCCTAGTTCATCATTTTGTTCAAAACTTCTTTCATATTTGGTAATCTTTAGGCGAGAGTCAAGCCCATCATCTGATAGACTCTGTATATAACTATTACCTGCTGGATCGTCTAATATCAATGTTATTTTTCGTTTTCCTGCTAATACCTCATCCAAGTGAGATATGAATGTTTCCATTTTTGCTACTGTTTCGGAGTCAGTACTATCACCAGTAATCGCCGTTGAGGTAGATAATTGTTCTTTGACTGCTACTAAAATACCTTCAACGGTAGTAAATCGCCCACCTAAAGAAGCAGGCCCAATTTCCAATTCTAATTCCGGTACTTGCATGTAACAAGTTTCTGATTTCAATAAGTCGCGACTAAAGTCGTCTCTCCCTGTAACAGTAACTTCTATTTTTACTCCTTGGGGTTCAATACCTCCACCACTCTTAACTTCATTTGTTCTGTGGCCACAGGACTCGCATACTGTTGCCATAATTACCACCTCTTTAAAGTGTGGAATATCTGCACAATTAATTAAGGAAAATTAACAGTGATAACAGTTAAAATGATGAATTAAAATTTGGCTGAAATTAAATAATTTAAACTCATAATCATAAAAGGATACTGGTCATTTTCATATTAGTATCACATGGGCAATTGCATTCTGGGCAATTCGTTCTGAACGAGAAAACTTCACCTTCGATTTCTTCTAACGTGTATTCTCCTTCTTTTATAGGTTTCAATAGGACATCTTCCGAATTTTCAGTATAAATACCTAGAATGTGATCTTGTTCTGGTGTTCTCTTAAATCTTGTTATAATGCAATGATCATCCTTCAAAGGTGCTTTTGGATTCTCTACGTGAGATTCTCCTGATATGTCTTCAAATATAATAGTAAAGGGTTCATCCAATGCTTTAAGCTTTCTTATCTTATCGAGGAATAGATCAATCTGAGCAGCTGAATCTGGATATTGTTCTCTTCTATCAGGTTGGTCTTGCTCCAATCCTTCAATGGTTCTTTGCATTATGCCTTCAATCGTTGTAATTTCTCCTTTCTGTGATCTACATGGAATTTCAAAATCCAAACATGGAATCTTCACACTGGTATAATCAGATTTAACGACTTGGCGATTCAAGTCCCTAACTGTAGTAACTTCTAATGTTATTCTAATGCCCTTGTCCTGAATCTTTCCACTATTTTGTATCTCGTTATTCTGATAGCCACAATGCTCGCAATCAAAGGACATTACTACAACATCTTTATAGTGTGGAATTTTCGTTAACAGTAATCTAGTGATTCCCTGTAATTATTAAATACATATAGATCGTATAGCACAGGAGAACGTTAATAACAAATAAAATTTCAGATACATTACATTTTTCCCGCAACTGACACACAGACTTTCAATTTCAGTCACTTCTGGCTCCGGATCGTCCGCTGTTAAATTACGAAACAATGGTTTAACTTTCTTTTCTGTTACTTCCTGATTTTCCGCCATTTTTAGGTTAGACGTGTTTTGAGTATTTAATAAGCGATAAAACTCTGTTCTCATAAAACTAAGTTAAAATATCGACTTCTCCTTACACACGCTTTACATTTACTTTCATTTTCTACACAATTTCGACGAGTAAAATGCAACTTGGAAAACAAAAATGATCATCTCTCATCACTTTCCAAAACATATCAAAATATTGTAATTTAGCATGTGCTGTACAATTATACGTATATTTCATAGTTCCTAAGAATAACAAACTTCTAGTAACCAAATTACTGCTTCCATTGGAAGTAACTAGAATGTTCTATCACTTGCGAGAATCAAGTGTGGCTCGTAGACCTCTAGTGGCAAGATCTTCAAACTTTGATCTTTAACAACGTTTATAGATCTTAGCGCCAACTTCAAGCATGTTATTTTAAATATATTTAAACGATATAGTGTAACATCTCATCCGTTATATCGCATACCAATCCCCTATTTTATCAGATAGAATAATTTCAACAATTCCCCGTTCACACATACAATTTTGATCGATATCGAAACAACGTACTTGCCAAATATACGTTGCAATCGTTCGCGTGAATTTAACCGATCGACTATCGCCTAACTGTCAGTTACGCTATAGCCTGTGTTATCACAGAACATAGCATGGGTGCACCGTGGAACCGTTGGATCTCGCAATGTTGAAAAGCATCAACAATTAATGTTCGCGGTATCGCGATTAATACGTCCCATCGACTACAGGCTAGCAACAATGATCGGTATTTTCGCGCAGGGACTCGAGTAGCCTCGCGGAAGGAATGTTCTTTTGGTGTCTTCCGAGAAGCTAGTGAAAAAGTGGGAGCTCAAACGTTGAACGCGGCGAGTGGCGCGAATCGCCGGTCAAAAGGTTCAATCGCTGAGCATAGCCAATGGCCGCCGCGAATGAGTGTCTCGTGTCGGCTTCTCGGTGGCCGCTGTGATCGATGCGTTGCTACGTATTTTCAAAGTGTGTTAACCCGCTCGTTCAGGTCGATCACGCGTATCCGTTATTCACGGCTGAGGGAACAATATGTCGAGCCGGCAGTCGAAAAAAGAGAAGGTGCGTGTTGCGTGTCACGACTTCGTGTCTGTCCGGTCTCATCCGGGTTTGGATTTCAGTTTGATCGTATGCCTCTTCTTACACGATCAGCACATACTACGTATACGCGAAAACGATGTTCCTTTCCGACGAGGAGAGATCGCGGGCACGCGCGCGCTTTGTAGGCAGAAAGAGAGAGGGAGAAATATACATATATCTGTAAATAGAGTGAGAGTGAGCGAGCGAGCGAGCGAGTCAGAGAATGAGCGAGTTGGTAAATGAGAGAGGGAAGAGCCTGGTGAACGAGTGAGCGAGCTAGCTAGCGAACGAGAGAGAGAGAAAGAGAGAGATAGAGTGAGAGAGAGACGATGACAGTGGAATAGTAGGAGAGAAAGGGAAGAAGGGAGAGTAAAGAGAGTTCGGGGAAACAACCCCGGTAGCTGAGACACCGAAGGGTGTAGCGTGATTTCCGATTTCCCGATATCCGTTTCGCAAGCACGTTTTCACGGACGAACGTCCCGGAGGGCCGGACACTATGGTAGATCCAATCTACTAATTCTCGTTTCCGTTCATGACATCGCGCGAGTGGCGAGTTTCTTCTTTGCGAACGCGGTGCTCCGCGTCGTCGTGTGCTGTCGTGGCATCGTGTGGGTCTGTACAAGTGGTGAATATTACTCGTTTTGTTCCAGGATGCGTCGAAGATCGGCAAGGACAAGGGAAAGAACGGGAAGGATGGCGAAACAGGTGACGAGGTGAGGTTATATCGTCTATTCTACGTTCCCCCCGTTCGTTCGATCACCGACGTGACTCGACTTCGGTTTACGAATCCTCGAGGCACTCCTGTCATCGTTGATGATCCTCTATCGTAGCCCGGCTTTTTCTCCATCCACGGTTAACTCGGCTTTACTCTCGTTCGATTGCCAGCACGTTCGAACATTTTCCTGCTCATCGTTCACGCTTTATCGCGGAATCATCGTCGTTTATTCATCCGAGTGCTGGCTGAGATCTTTGGTGTCCATCTTCGACTTACCTGAAATGTTTTCGTTCGTCGGTCGGTATATCGTGTACACGCATGTTCCTTAAATCTATATACACATAGTAGAGATATTCCGCGATGCGATTTGTCACCGCGGATCGCCGTTGACAATAGTCCGACGTTCGTGGTTCTTTCGAAACGGTTTTCAAATCAGAAGTTTTCCTTTAAAAGGGAAATGTTGCTGGTACAGGTGGCGCTTAAGCGTTCAACTTTGTTAATAAATAGAAAACGATGTACAGATGGAATGGTATATAGCAACCGTGCTTTTTTAGATATTAGTTTTGTTTCCTATTTGTTGCTTGCCCTTTACGATACACTTCGTCGAAGCTCGTGCAACCGGACATCTTTGCCCGACGTAATTAACGGTGTTTTATGTTGTCGCAAATTTTATACATTTCCTGCTTGCAATTAACATGCAGTTCAAGTTCTGTACGCGATGTGAATGGAATCAGTGTACCACTATATAGGGTGTTGCTCAAAGATGGATAGTTTTCTTTGCGAGTTTTCGTCGCTGTGTTTGTACCGTCGAAAAAATATTTCTCTCAATTGTCAAGGTCAACGGGGTCATTCGATACTCATCTGTTTTTATTCATTTCCATTGAATGTTACGATGATAAACAATACGATGTTAACGTGTTTGTTCTTCGTCAGTTAGAATAACTGAGAAAACGTTTTTATATTTGCCTCGGAGTGTTTTAAATGTATTTATTTAATACTTTCCTCTAGTGAAATATATCGTCGAACTGTCATTGCTTGGTATTTGTCCTATCGTGCGTGCACATGCGATATAAACCTATAATTACAACAGCTTAAACGATCCGAGTGCTTTATACCGTTAACGGCTAAGACAGAGATAAGAAATAAACCAGGAACTAATGGATTAGTGACAAAATCGTTTTATTTTTAAACTTGGTTTATAAATAAATGAAATGTATGAACGCCGTGTAGCACGCAGGAAACTTCGTGTGCATTGAATTTAGTTATCGATCGATGATAACTGAAAAAAATAAATCAGCCTTTAATTAATTATTCGACACTACTCCGGAGATCGGCGAATGTTAATTTAGCATAGAATTGTGTAACTGCTTATTATTCTAGATACACGAATTCCATAAATAGATGTATTTGTACCTGTAGCACACTGGGTGTTAGTAAATTTCAATCAGATTTGTCATTTAGTTTTATTACAAATAGTTTACTGGATTATTTATTTAGTTGTTGTTGATATTTCATTAAAAGTAGCAAATACCTTATAGAAATGTATATAGAAACGTATCCTTTGTACAGGGAGGTAGAGGGTTTAAGAGAAACATTTAGTATCTAAATCGTACATAGTAGAGAGGAAATTCATTTATATAGCTATATTACTATTACGCAATTTTCTCCCTTAATCGACTACACTTGAATGCATCATCAGCTAGGTTTCTCGAGAAGAAGTTTTGTGATTGGTGTTGAAGTCATTCTTGCGCATCTGTATCAATATTTTCATTCGACAAAATACAGGTATTTTTTAGTATGCCAGATTGAAGTAGATCTAGCAGATTAATATATAAAAACGTTGCTTTATCTTGTACATTTGCCAAACATACCATCAAGTAACTATCATCTTTTTTGGCTGCTAGAAGATGCTCTGAATGGACATCACTTCACATGAAGGGTCAAGATCAACAGTGCATAAATGGTTCCAAGATCACCTACAAAACTTCTCTCAAGGAAGCCAGGCATTAATGCGACGTTGGAAGAATTATATCCAATGTAATAAAGATTACTTATAGATTGGCATACATATTTGAAAATAACTTTTCTCATAGTTAACTGAGAGTGGGTTTCATTGAAAGTGTATAAGTAATAAACATTTTCCAATTCCACACGGAATTGATTATAGTAATAAAAAGCGTTGATATTGGCTTGAAATCGTACGATCTCCGTCTTTTTCCAAAAGATTGTCAAACGTAAGAGTTAGACAAAGTTGTGTGTACACTTTTCATGCATGTATTGTGTCAGGGACTCCACTGATCAAGTTTACATTTCTGTAAGAATTCTTTGAATTAAAAACATTTCATTCTGCTGCGTTGCTAGTGAAGTTTTTAATATTCCAGGCTAATAAGGTAGCAGGAGGACAACCTGGGAATAGTGCACCACCACCACCAACATTGATCAACAAGATCAAATACCAACCAGGCGGTCCCGTTATAAAAAAGGACAAGCGACAAAGTAGCTCAAGATTCAATATTTCGAAAAATCGGGAACTTCAAAAGTTGCCGCTTTTATCTGGTAAGTTACTAAAAAACCAATTAATGTATTTATAGAATTTAAAATTTCCGTTAGAACATCGTTTGAGTCGTGTAAAGTCACGTCTCTATATTTAATAATAAAATATACGATTAAAACTCTGTACACATTTAAAAAGAACATTATAATTAAGAAATAGAATTTACTCAATAATTCAAGCAAGGAAGAACTCATTACCAGGTAATACAATAGTGTATCAAAATGGGAGCAGTAAACCTCGTTCATTGTACTCGCTGAGAGTAAGTTGCTATACACTTAACGAATCTAACGATAGTATGTGAGAGTCGTTACCTATCGTTACTTTGTGTAAACCGGAGTACAGAGCATTCCGTTAATTACTCGTTTCGTTAAATCGTCAGATATCATGTAAGAATTTCCAAAATTCTTTTCATGAAATATTATTTTACCATTTGACACAACCGCATTAATTATGATTGCATAGAATTGATCTGGCAATAAAATGTGAATGAATGTATCGAGAGCGCATTGAACGGCTCGTTAAAGGGTCAGAAATTTACAGGAACCACGTGTAGAAGGCAGCACCTAAACAATCTACATCGAATGATGTAACTATAAACATAGTTAATTTTTAATGTCATTGGTCTAGTAATAAATATTCGACGAGCACCTCCATGTACTTCATCGAAGTTTGCAACACTGGATTTTAAATGTATCAAAATGGGAACCACTACCCGATTGGCGGATCTCGTTGCAATTATGATTTGCCCGAGTTGTGCCATAATTGATCAAGAATATTGTGTCAATTATTCTGAAATATTAAATGAATCCGTTAATCGTGCCATTTTCATTTTGCCAGTTTAAGAATCGTGAAGTGACTACGTCAAAGCGTATCGATTGTAAGGTGCGGTGGTTCACGCATGCGCGCCGCTGTCACTCGCGATTTCTAGTTTTTTAACGTAAACAGAGTCTTTCGTCGTTCAAACGGCCTCAGATATCGGCGGCATTTTTCCAATTTGAATTGCTCACGCTTCTGGAGTCTATTGACGCGTTTGCCATGGAGCGTCCGGCGATCGTGCCGGCGTAAATCGACGAACGAGAGGTCGTAACATTGCGGAAATCAAGATATGCGTAGCTTTCGCTCGAAAGAACGGTCAGTTACATCGAAGCAACAGATTGCTATGTAAAGAAGGAAGGCCGGTGCGTATACTCGAATGCAATAATGCCTTCCAGGTCTGAACTTAAAACTTACCACCTCTAGAGCTGTCTATCAAGTCCCTTGAATCGTTCATTCTGTAGTTGAGTTCACTACCACTAATTGTAAGAAAGATCAGTAGAGACCAATCAGTCTGCTTTTAGCCAGTGAGAACAAAATCAACATTCTTCACACATAATACTTCCCAGTATGCACTTAATAAAACAGACTTTAATCAAATATTATTTCTGTTTTATTACTTTCTAATCTGTACTCGAATAATAATTAAAAGTTATTATTTGTGAATTAAATTTATTATAATACACATTGTTGTAAGTATATTATATTTTTTGGACTTGATTCATTGCATAAATTTTATATTCCAATGATATGTATATATGAATTTTGAAAGTATACATTTCAGTTTATTATATAACTGTCTCTTATAAGAATATGTGGCTATTGTATTATTTGACTTTAGTGATTAATGTTACAGATTAACCAAGCTTAAACTATGTCTGCAGTTCTCGTACGTAAAGGAAAGTAAAGATGACACAGTAATGGGTGCAAGTGAATGTATACTGCATTAATGTAATTAAGTGAAATTATCAAGCACTGAATTGTAGGTTTAATCTGTAACAACTAGGGGACATTTGCAAGTGTGTTATAGATTTTTAATGGAAACACTGGTTGTTCTCCACTCAGTAGTATTAAATTCAGAGGGGGTGGTAAGTGATCCTGAAAGTTTTTCTGGGAGACATTATTTCACTTGATTGTACAGGGGTGTTGGTTGCACTGAAATTCATTAGACGAAAGAAAAGTGAACCGTCGAGCGAGAATTTTTGTAATAGCCACCTCAGGGCAGAATGGTTCACGTGGACGGATATCACTTTGCATCCGGCGGCTTGCCGAAAAGCCCGAGCTTCCATCAGGGGCTCGCCTTAGCCACAGTCCTTTCCCGGGAACCGAATAAGACTTATCTATCCAACTTTACTACGCATTATCAACCGCTACGACCCCTATTAATCGGTAAAGAAATTTCGGACCCTTGTATCCTCTCCCGAATCTAGTAATCTTTAAATGAATGTAAATGTTACAGGTACGCAAATAAAGGTGTCTATGAAGAACGCGTGTATGTTTGTGAGAGGGAGAGAAAGAGAGAGAGAAAGGGGAAGGTGAAGGGAGGTGAAAAATGTAAAGGGTAGATTAGGTAGGGAAAAGAGAACAAAGCTGTGGAGGAGTCAAGAAAGGTGTATTATTATTAGAAACTTATAAGGGCAGGGAAAATGATGCGTGAGGTTTATGGAGTAGATGTTAAGGAAAAGTAAAAGAACTCTGGGTAAAGTGTTCAGCAAAGGAGACTCAAGACCCAGAGGAGATAAATATGTAGCAGGTCGAAACAATGAAAAAATATGAATCTTTCAGGGGAAATAGGTAAAACTATGTTGCCCCTGTAAAGATGAGAAATAATCTATCTTTAAGACAGTGTACAAGATAAAAAGTGGAAGAAGAATATCAGACATTTATATGAAATGTATAGGTTGCATATTCTATGTTACAGTTTATGATTGTCAAGGTGTTTTTTTTTTACATGGTTCAATGAGTATTATTTATCACTCTATTCTTGTGCGAATTGCGTGTACAATGATTCTCAAATGTATTCCATTTATATAAACACCTTTTGTTCTCTTCCCCGGTCTAGAAACGCAACAAGGGAACGAGCGGGAGGAACTTTTTATACAAAAACTGCGACAATGTTGCGTCCTCTTTGATTTTGAGTCTGATCCCTTATCGGACTTAAAATGGAAGGAAGTGAAACGAACCGCCTTGTACGAGATGGTGGAGTACGTTACCAAGAACAAAAACGTTATCACCGAGGCTATATACCCCGAAGCGGTGAACATGGTAAGTCAGGAATACTTAATATCATCGACAGATAAGAAGGAATTATTTGTAACAGGTAGTTTGTAGTTTGCAGTGAACCTCTTTCGTACACTTCCTCCGTCATCGAATCCAAACGGCGCCGAGTTCGACCCAGAAGAAGATGAGCCAACTCTGGAGGCAGCTTGGCCACATTTGCAGCTGGTTTATGAGTTTTTCCTTCGACTACTTGAATCTCAAGATTTTCAACCTTCTATCGCAAGACGTTACATAGATCAGAAGTTCGTCCTGCAGCTTCTAGAGCTGTTCGACTCAGAAGATCCTCGAGAACGGGATTTCTTGAAGACAACACTTCACAGGATTTATGGAAAGTTCTTAGGGCTTAGGGCGTATATCAGAAAGCAAATAAACAATGTTTTTTACCGATTTATATATGAAACCGAGCATCACAATGGTATTGCCGAACTCTTGGAGATCCTGGGAAGGTATGTTCCCCTATTAATTTCCCATTAAGATGAAAATATGAAATTTATGCATGTACCGAATCCCTCGTTCTTCCAGCATAATCAACGGCTTCGCTTTGCCGCTGAAGGAGGAACACAAAATTTTTCTATTAAAGGTGCTTCTACCTTTGCACAAAGCTAAATCATTATCCGTTTATCATCCGCAATTAGCGTATTGCGTTGTTCAATTTCTGGAGAAAGACCCATCGTTGACTGAGCCTGTTATCAGAAGTTTACTGAAATTCTGGCCAAAAACACATTCCCCGAAAGAGGTGATGTTCTTGAACGAACTCGAGGAGATCCTGGATGTGATCGAACCTGCCGAATTCCAAAAAGTTATGGACCCATTGTTCAGACAATTAGCGAAATGCGTTTCCTCTCCACATTTTCAGGTAATTTGAGCTTTTAAACGTTGTTTAGATTCGATTGATTTTTGTTAATTGTTCGAACGTGTGATTCCCAAGGTGGCTGAAAGAGCTCTTTACTATTGGAACAACGAATATATAATGTCTTTGATATCAGACAATTATTCGGTGATATTACCCATCATGTATCCAGCATTCTACAGAAACTCTCGAAATCACTGGAACAAGACCATTCATGGTTTGATTTATAACGCGTTGAAACTCTTCATGGAGATGAACCACAAAATGTTCGACGAATGTACTCAACAGTATTATCAAGTACGTAATCCTTGATAATATAAGCATCGAATGAAACACGCAATACTTAATACAACGTCTTCAGGATCGTCAGAGGGAAAGAAAGCTTATGAAAGATAGGGACGAAGCATGGATGCGCGTGGAAGCATTAGCGATGAGACATCCGAATTATAATGTGGCTGTCAAAGGGTTAACAAATACCGCTGCCAACACCACGATATCACAGCAACAGCTAGATAGTCCTCCGCCTGACGAAGATGGCGATACGGATCAAACACCACTCACTTTAGAGAAGATAGAGGCAAAGGCGAACGAGGTATTACTTAATCGTGATAATATGATAAAAAGGGAATACGTAATCAATGGAATATATTATTACATTCATTTTTGGCTTTCGGGTGAGAGTCGTGTCCAATAGGAATATTTTCTCAACGTTTCGCCGGCATTGCAGCTGGCTTCATCAGCGGGCTAAAGGCACACTGATACTGGTGTGTGTCTTGGAAGACTTTCTTTAAATGTGGACCCTGTTCATGTTCCGGATCGGTGGTTACCAATCACTTTTAATTGATCAGCTGGACAATTTAAAAAAGCGGGAGGAGGGAGTGCCAAATGGGGTTCAATTGATATCCTGTGTCCCTGTTGATGTTGTTAGGGTGTTTCAGGATTTCAATAGATTCCCTATATTTGCGCGGCAAGTAGTCCTTGCACCTGGTCAGGATCTTGGCCTCTTCGAACTGGATCGTATGTCCCGTGATCAGCTGATGTTCTGCGACCGCACGCAGACTGAGTGTATTTTAGTCTGGTGCAACGACTATGTTCGATGAGGCGTGTACTCACGCTCCTCCCGGTAATTATACTTCCCGCGCAAATATAGGGAATCTATTGAAATCCTGAAACACCTCAACAACATCAACAGGGACACAGGATATCAATTGAACCCCATTTGGCACTCCCTCCTCCCGTTTTTTTTAATTGTCCAGCTGACCAATTAAAAGTGATTGGTAACCACTGATCCGGAACATGAACAGGGTCCACATTTAAAGAAAGTCTTCCAAGACACACACCAGTATCAGTGTGCCTTTAGCCCCTTGATGAAGCCAGTTGCAATGCCGGCGAAACGTTTGGAAAATATTCTTATTGGACACGGCTCCCACCCGAAAGCCAAAAATGAATGTAATATTATTCCAGGCCGTGAAAGCATCAAGACTACTATCCGAATATATTATTATTTAAAACACTGTTCTGTTACAGGCAAAGAAGATGACGAATTCTAATAAAAGTAAGCCACTTCTGCGAAGAAAAAGCGACTTACCACAAGATACGTACACAATGCGGGCATTGTCCGATCACAAACGTGCAGATGAGTACCTTGTTACGCCACCGGATCCCAATAATTGATAGTCTCTACCGCAGTCTCTTCCCATGTATCCTCTCTTCTGCTGCAGTGATATTGGGGGTTAGCTTTTTCGAAAAGAAAACAAAACATGATGACGATCCCGATTGGATTCGATCGTACGTCCGAAGTTGTATCGTATAGAGGCCAGACACTGTCATATTATTCCCCTTGTATCGAAACTGTCGAGATGTATGCTAATTGTCTCTTTTTCTTTATGGTAACAAGATAAAAAAAAAAGCTTTCTCTCATTGCACCCAGCACTTTTGGAAGATGTAATTGTGTCTGTAGTAATCTACAAGATGAAAAAGATAAAAAAGCTGATAAACTTCCTATATACTCTTTGAAACGATTTGCGTGAGGAGTCGCGAGAATGCTGCAAATGTCAACGCGTACTCGCTATAAGAGGAAAAAAAAACACACACATCGTGAGACACGAAAAAAACCTAGCGAATAAGGGTCCTAAGTTTGTACGCATATACAGAGTATTTTATAAATTGTAGATTTCTTACGTATGGGGAAGTCTATCGCTGACAATAAGGCAGTCTTCACAAATAACCATCGTCTTTGTGATCGAATGAAGACGATCGAGATTTACCGTCAATCTATTTATAAGGAATTGTGTTCCAAAGTTGTCTTGCAATTAGCGGGGGATTTTCTTCATATTATAGGAATTTATAGTTTATCGAACACCCTATATATATACTCTAAATAAACAAAGAAAAAACAAGAAAAAAGAATTTTAGTATGCAAGTTTTGAGGCGCTACATTTTCTGAGCGAGGTTTCCACTGATACGCGAAAACGAAGAAAAATGGCAGACATTAAGTAACAAGTGATACATAGTTGCTTCAACGCTAACAGCTCGTAATTTAGCAGCGGAATGAGCCAAATATAAATAGAAAATACACAGAAAAAAATTGAAAAAAGACAGAAACGAGACATCGTTTTTTAGAGTTAGATGAACGTGATAGCACTATTTTAGAATATCGATTGTTATGAATCTGAGTATTCCTGAACGTACTACTTTTATATCTGTCGTGCCTAGATGCCTGTGGAACGCATTCGCAAGAATCGCCTCTACCAGAGGCCTATAATTAAGAGTCGTTAATGAAGAAAAAAAAGGGAGAGAGAAAGAGAAAGAGAAAGAGAGAGAAAGCAACGAGTTGAAAACGTGACGTTACCGAAACGGTACAATTGACACCACAAACCTTTTCCAAGAACGCTTGCATGATCCGTTACGTCGTTGCCTCGTCAGTCTCGCGAATAATCGGAGAAAAAGAAGAAAAGAAATTATAATTACTATTTCGTCACTAATATAAAATGAAAAGAGCAGAACAAAAACGATAAAGAACGAAACTGAAAGATTAAAGAAGCGAGGAAGTTAAAAAGAAAAAGAAAAAGGCGAATCTAAGTAAAATAGGACTATCTTTAATCTTTTGCGCTGCTGGCAGGCTGTTATGTTAAACATTGTGTAAAGGATGAACTTGTTGAGAATAGATAAACGATTAGCACGTACTATTAAAATAACGAAAATTGAAACCAAATGAGATAAATATTAAAAAAAAAACAAAACTATTTACTATTTAATCGTCCCTGAGGAAGGAGAAACGCTGTTTTTGTTACGAGAAACCATTGATGATACTGAATATTCTTGTCGATGATAATAATTTTTATTACGGAGCTCGGTGTAATCTCGATGAAATTCCCCTCGAAACGAATCGCTGTATCTTAAGAAGCATTTAGTAATAAAAGTATTTTTAGTAAAAACATTTACACTCGAATATAGGTTATAATTTCGAATCACCCGCCGAATATTCCTTTTCTTGTCGGTAAAATTTCACGAAATTATGATATGACTCATCGGGATTACATTGGCCTCTTCGAATCGTTAAAAAGAATCGAAACCGAGTAGCTAGTAACGTATACTTTGAACAGTGTCTACTATCGTTCATTTTTTTTAACACGTATCACACGATATTTTACGAAATTCGTCGAATTCCACGCTAATCAAAAGGGACAGTTCATTAAACTTGACGTGCTTGAAGCATCTAAAGACTGTTACTTGCCTAGCATCGGGCGAGTGCGTACTATTTGCTCCTCGAATTTTCATTTTGCATAAATAGCGTCGGACTTGTATTATACGAAATGTACAATGTCGTTTACTTTCGTCCGTAAACATTGTTACCTCAAGTAAGTTTGATCAATTGTTCTACATTTTTTATGACGACAATGGAACAGCCAATAATTAAGTACTTTGTAGATTAAAAAGAGGATGAACTAAGAAACAGACGAGTGTAACCATTTCTAAGGGGGAGCAAAGATATCAATAGGAACAAAATTACTAGACAGCTTGAAAATATTACGGAAAATCTCTGTTCTCCCTTATGTAAAGTTTACTGGATCATTGTAGATCATGAAAGAAGAGAAGTGTTAAATAAGAGATGTCCGCGTGTACAGTGATTTGCTTCAAACCTAGAAATACTAATTATTACGGAACACGAAGCTGTGTATCAATGTTGGATCGCAACAATTTTTTTCATAACGATCGCCTATCCGGCCGATTCGAATCCATGCATGCATAATATTACTTTATGATTTGTTGGAAGCAAGAAGGGATACCCATTAGAGTACATACTAAAAGCGCTTTGTAAATTTGAGTATTAAAAGAATAGATAGACCCAGAGGACAAGTCCAAGTCGGTAACGAACAAATTTATAGCTTTGCGTATCCGATTAACAGGGTCAGAGAAAGAGGAGTTTCAAGTGTATCTCGTTAACGGAATGGATTGTGAAAATCTTGATTAGGTTCGCTTGCTCGAGGAGCTGAGGTACACTGATGGGGAGAACCACTGTTAATCTGAAAAAGAAACAGCAGCTCAAAGGAAATTTTATGAGACTCCTAAGATCTAAAGTTAAGCCTAACCACGATAGGAAGTTGTTCGCACCAGTAATGAAGGTAACCAAATTGCGTTTACTGTTTGCCTTAGCGACAGAAAGGAAAATGGGCATATACCACTTCGATGCAAACACGACATTCGTTAAGGAAGACGATCTACATGACAACTTGAAGGGTACGTAGATGAAGGAAAGAAAGAATACGCCTGCAAACTGATAAAAAGACCTCTACGAATTCAAAGAATCTGCCAAGATATTGGAACGAGGGATTACATAGATTGATTGTAAGGTTAGGTTTTAGGCAAAGTACAGCGGATCCTCGTCTGTATATTAAAATGACTCAAAAAATATGCAATATATAACAATTTACAGTTTACGTATCGACAAATGAAAATATACTGATTGTCTAACTGATACTGCCTTATAAAATATTAAAGCGAAAATTCAAATATATGGGTTAACTCAATCAAATTACCATATAGCCCCTAAAATTCGACATACTGCGTTAACACTCCGTGTTACGACTTGGTCACCTAATTAGTCATTCTTTTGTTCTAGTTAGTGTAGTCGGCAGTCGTTTTTTCGCTTCGACCACGTAGAATACAGTTTCTATGATTATGTGTATAAAAGATTACTTTAATAAATAATTAATAGTTTATTATAAATTACGAATACCTTTATTAGACCCAATAACCTAGTATATAAACATCACATTATATTAAATAACTACGATAGACAAAAAACACTTATCTCGACTATTATATTAAATTCAACTTACTTGTCTCTAACCGAAGAGTATGCTTTTCTACATTTATAAATTCGTATCGCAGGTGCTTTATTGAATTGAGATACTTTATCAGACTTCTAAAGAGTTAGAAAATTGATCTAGTTCTTCGACTACCAATACTTATAAAAAAATTGATTTTTGTTTAAATAACGTCAAGAAGATATACAATTTGCAATATCAATAACTATTAAGAGTCACTTGTGTTTAAAAAACCAGATTTTTAAAGACTGGTACAAATGAAGACCTTGTTAACTACAGGCGCAAATAATTCTTGCCGCTTTGTGTATAACTTACCGTGAAATTAGCGGCACGAATCATTTGCTTTGGAAAATCTTGTAGTTTAATTGGTGACGCCATCCGTGGCAAAACGCTCAAACTGGTAGCCAAACGTTATCGACAGGTGAGTGAAGTTTGATGACTGGTGGCACCTCTGGTGGCAAAACGTACAAACTGGTAGCAAACGTCATCGACAGGTGAGTGGACTCAGAAAACTGGTAGCGCCTCTAGTGGCAAAAGGCTCAAACTGGTAGCCAAAGGTTACCGACAAGTGAGCGTAAATTTATTTTAGCGACTAATCGCTATAATTAGTAACTGCTGTGATACAATATCATTTTGAACTAGCTTGTATAACTGACAATGTTCTCCGTTCTCTGCTTTAAGTGTACACTACAATTATGAAGTTTTTATTCAATCGAAATCTACATGATATATTCAGCTTGCCTGTCTACATTGAAGAATTCTGAAATAAAAACAGCTTCGTCCATTCTTAAAAAGTGCTGCATTGTATTTGTTCAAAGAACCGTAGTAACATGATCTATTAATATAATTCTTGATGCATGTATACAAGCGCCTATGATGAGATTTAGTTCCTTAGCTTCACCGCTAGATGACTATAGTGTTTTTATGTCCATGGAATGCCTCTTCCGAATTGCCACCACCATGAACTGATCAACGGATTCAAGCAACAGGATGGCAACCCTCTGGAGTTCAGAAACATTTCTCGCATAATTGTACCTTAAGAAAATAAAAATTATCACTCATTCCCTGCTAATCTAAATCTAATGATCTAATCATAATTGTACAATTACAAATTTATATGTCCTAACTCCCAGCTCAACAAACTGTCAAAGAATATATATTGCTGTACTCGACCAATGAGCACATCGAGCTCACGTTCTTTTCTAATAAATACAAAAAAATATAAATATAAATTCCTACGGACTAAGACGGATGCAGAGGCTCATTACATATAATCTGAGCTCAACAGCAATTAATTTAAGCCCCTAATTCCATAGATATTCCCATTTCCCCAATGTCCCAACTTTTTAAATTCACTGTTAGATGGCGCCGCTGTAATACTTGGCGCGTAATTCATTATTTTTTGATATTTTAAAAAATGTATCATTTAGCGAACGGACTGCATTTAGCTTGTAAAAGTATTTTCTTCCTTTTATTTCCTACTCGACTCTATTCTCTTCTAGATATGTTTCGCCTCGATCCTTCAGAAATTTAAATAAAATCCTCTCTATCCTTTTGTTTGATTAGTAAAACAAAGGTTGTCAAAACAAATGATTCTCGTAATTAATAAAGCTTCATTCATTTAGACATGCTTTAATCGTACCAGTAATTACTATTCAATTTCTACAGATTTTCAAGTCTTTTCCAAATTTAATCTACCGATCACAGGAACTCAATTAAAATCATCAAGCACTGCTGCATAAACTGATCTAGTTTAAAATCCCACAAACACCATTAAAACATTTCTCCGTTAGCAATACCATTACCTCGAAGTTCGAAAAGTCTACATTCCTGCCGTTCTACCTTTCGCTTATCGTTGCTTTTACTGCCTCGCCCTAATATCCAATATAGAAAGCGTTTAGCAATAAAAGAAAGTTTATTCGAAGGAGGAGCGAATCGGCCCGTAAATAAAAGCCAATCAGCAGAACTTGAACATTCAATAGGCAGGCTAAGTGCCCGACATTAAGCTAATTAGCGGATGCATCTAGGCGCATAATTGGTGTACTCGCCTCTTCAGGTTCCCGATTCAATATGTTGCCCGCGAATCGATATTTCTAACATCAACCGGGGGAATCCAATCACTCTGTTTGTCGCGCGCACAATCGCGATGTTATGCAACGGGCGGGATGCGAAACAAGTTGGGTTTCGTGTCGCTCGGGCGCATCATATAAATGCAGATCTTTGCGTCTCGAGCGCGGGAGAACGTGTCTGTTCCATGAAATCGAGGGATTGCTTAGCCTCTGGCAAATAGCTTTTCTTTGAAACTTTCCGAGTAGGCGTACCTGTTCCTTTCATCTTCGAATCAATTCTCCTACCTGTATCGCAACGATGATAGCTTCTTGTAAAACGCAATTGATAAGAAAACCTCCGCAAGAATACGATCCGAGGAAACTAATTCGAACGACGCGACAGGCATCGACAGATTTTGGATAAGTTCATGATCGTGTATTTACAATAATTCCTCTCTAAACGGTATGTACAGAAATGGTATCTACAATGCTATAAATATTGCGCGTCCTCGTCGTTGTTGATGGTGTTCCTTATCCATTCGACGTAATGCTGTATCCTGGTGTAGACGTCTGGATATCCAGGTCTGGCGCAACCAGAACCGAACGAAGTAACGCCAGCTAATTGCCAAACGCCATCCGGCCGACGACATTGTAGAGGTCCTCCGGAGTCGCCCTGCAAACGATCCAGCCATTTTGTCGCGGTACTCGATTCGTCGCCGAACTTAGACGAATCTAAAGTTAATAAGTGAAATTATTCTATTACTGAGATCTCGCGGCAATAATGCTAGAGCGATGTATCTTATTGATGAAGGTCGGTAGCCGCGTTATCCTGGAGACGCGAAACTTCTAATCTAGTTGAGTGGGTTTCGATCGCGTTACATCTTGCGCGAGTATGCTGTACAACGATTAAGAGTCCGTGATTGCAAGGTCTTTCGAATTTTACGATAGTAAATAGCGAACTCAGTTCTGTATTTCGTTGTTAACTCGCAAAAATATCTGTTCTTTCAAGCTAAAAGGCGAATCGTGCTGCATGTGCAACTAATTTAGAGGATACTTCAATTCTAACTCTAGAAATGTCTCTTGTTTCAAGCTAAACGACGTAATCGTGTTGCTTGTGCAACTTTCGAGGATACTTCAATTCTAACTCACAAAAATATCTGTTCTTTCAAGCTAAAAGGCGAATCATGCTGCATGTGCAACTAATTTAGAGGATACTTCAATTCTAACTCGCAAAAATGTCTTGTTTCGAGCTAAAAGTCGAATCCTGCTGCATTTTAGAGAATACTTCAATTCTAACTCACAAAAATATTTTGTTTCAAGCTAAAAGATGAGTCGTGTTACATATGCGACTGATTTCGAGTATACTCACTACGCAGCTCCCGGAGGAACCATCGGTGTGTCCAGCGCAAAGATGGCCGCTGCGGATGGGCACCGATTTGCCGTACGCCTTGGTACATTTCTCGAGATCGAGCAACGGTACAGATGCTTCCAGCAACGAGGTGGAGAGTGATTGAGACGGACCGTAACGACCCCAGCCGGAAGCGATGCAATGGCCATTCGCTAGCTTTTCTTCCGGTTCCGGTAGACAGATGGTTCTCACCACTTTCGACAGAGGAGCCGGTCGAGCGAGCTTCATCAGAGCTGCAACAAACGTTACTTTCATTTTCTTCTTGATGTCTTTTATAATTACTGAAAGGTACAATGATTACAGAAGCCAATTCAGTAACAAGACACCTTTGGAATTTTTAAACTAAAATTATTTCCCGAGTTCAGCCGTGTATTCTGAATTGACTATTCGACTCTTTGAGTAACGATTATAAAATCCATTATAGGAAATGTCCAAAATTCAGGACAAATGATTTAGAAAAATTTTAAGTGAAAATTTCAGGTGTGTTGACACCTTAAGAAATAGTGTTAACCCTTAGCACTCCAGGTTGCTTTCTAATTAACAACTACAACTAATTTTTACAGTATTCCTAGCGAAAATGAGGAATATAACATTTCTTCGACCTTTTATTTTCCTTAGTACAAAATTTGAATGTATGGAAAATCGAATAATTTTAGGGTAATTTCTTTGAGATTCATTGAAATACTTAATATTATAACCGGTGCGATATTGGAGCCTACAGAGTTCAAAGGGTTAAGGGACACATGGTCAATAGTGTATGAAAATTACCAGAAACTTGAATATATGTTAACACTATTAAAAAACTCAATGCAGTTCACAAGGAAAATATAATGGAACTATAACTAATAAGTCAATCGGAATTGCTTGCAGAGACCTGACACTTCAGCAATGTTTCAACCTTAAGCACTACGATACGTACCAATATCGTGAACGTAATTATTGAACCTTTCGTGAAGGATCACTCGTTCAACGGGCAGCCTGGCTGAACCTCTTCCGCCGGAATCCAATTCCCATTCTCCGACGACCGCTGTCCATAAAGCGCCGATCGGTAAATTGAAGAGATCGCTGTAAACGAGGGATGACACGGTATTAAATCATTCTTATCCAACTAAATTGCCCAGAGTCCCAGCTTAGAACTCAATCCGATAGAATGCTGCGAGAGTATTTCAAAGGTTTCATTCCGAGTGTCCATTTACGTGAACCGTTAGCCACCGAATTAACATTAGAACCACCGTACCAGTTGAAATGACTATTTTCAATTGTTTTGTTTCATAATTATTGATATTTTAACCCTTTGAACTCCGTAGGCTCCAATATTGCATCAGGAATAATATTAGATATTTTAATGAATCTTAAAGAAACTACCCTACAATTATTAGATCTTCACACATCCAGATTTTGCACTAAGAAGGAAAATGAAAGATCTAAGAAATGTTATAGCATTGTTCATTTTCGCTAGGGATACTATAAAAATTAGTTGCAGTTGCTGATAGATGACAAAACCATCTGGAGTGCTGAGGGTTAAAAGCATTGAGTATTCGAAATGATCTTGAAAATAAATAGCTTTGACTTGAATACTATAATGAATGTCCGAAGAAACCGAAAATAATTGTTAGAATTTTTATGGGGACTACATATCAGTCGTATTAAATCCTCGGTAACTACAATCTCCTCCATTATTTTCAATCGAACTCATTCAAGTCGGTTAGAAACTGTTTCGTAAAAATAAGAACCGTATTTGATGAACTGCAAATAATCCCACTTCAAGACTCGCCAAATAACAAAAGAAAAGATAAACAGAATAAAAGGTAATACTAAGTTGGCTAAGTGTTAACCCTTAACTTATAAAATTTTCAATTCAATATTAAACCTCGTGTAACGTATCAACACGTAAAACATCGAAGTAAAATAGTTCCGTCTCTTAATTCATACAAGATAATCAATCGTGTTAGTTGCGAGAAATATCGTTGATATTTAATCGGAAAGTGACGAATACGTTTAATGAAAAATATTCTCGAGTGCAGAGGGTTAAGCTAATCGAGATTGTACTATAGGCAACGTCGAGTTCGCTGCTTGCCAAAGGGAAACCGAGACTCACTTGTGAATGCAATGCGCAGCGGTGACCACCCAGACGGGGTCAATGAGAACACCGCCGCACCAGTGTCCGATGAATCCCAATTTAGGGTGCAACAGTTGAAGGGACACCTGCCAGGGCCAGGAACCTCGCTTGCTCAGCTTCCCGTTGAAGATCCTGCCGGTGCTCGCGGAGATCTTCCTCCCGACTGCCGTCGAATTCCTCTGGGCAGCGTTCTCACCGAAGATCGCTCGGGGTTGCCTGTGTGACGCTGTCGGACACCCGCACTCTGTTATTCGAAAAGCTCAAGGCTCTCAGCCGATTGCCGGCTTAGGATCATTATCTTACGACCTGTTCACTACCGGTAACTATTCAGCCCATTCGAGACTCTTCTCGAACACGGTCTACAGGAGCGAAATTCTATCAGGGGGTTTTCCAATTAAGTTTTTTAAAATCTCAATTTTCTTATTGGCGAGTATGTTTATTTTTTCTATACTTTACAGATACTATTAATTCAGAAAGGTCTTATCTCAATGACTACTTTACTCGGAATAACCGATAAATGCTCATTATCATTGCACACGCGGTGTGTAACCGGTCTTGTAACCTCGGAAATCAGTTGCATACACGGTGTGCAATCGGTCTCGAATGGGTTAGGTGATAACGACAGCAAGAATAATTAATTGACACGTTGTGTACCGGAAACGAGAAGTCTCGTTTTTGTTTAAACCTATCATAATTTTGTGAACTACCACGTGATTTAAAGGAATATTCAATTTTAGAACTGATTACTTGTTTAATCCTTATGAGATAAGATATTTGAATATTTTTCATATAGCGATACGTCACGAGCTTGTAAGTTGATTTCATTGAGAAATCGGACAGTTTTCTAATTAACCGGTACGCAATGTAACACGTTGACCGCCGGTCACCGATGACCGGAGCTTCCACATTACTTGACAATAATTGCAATTTGTCAGATAGCTAAGTCGAATAGAAGTATTTCGTAGCGTAAATGACTAGATAACAGCAACGTAAGTATTGTGATATTAAATAATAAGTAACCGTTCGTCTTTATGTTTGCTAGAAAGAATAAGCGATGCATAGAACTCTGAAGGTGTTCGTGGTAGTCAACGCGTTAAAATTGCTATTGATCGCACGTAAGATGTCAGTAACTGTCTGTCGGTCTAACTGCCGATTTCGAATCAACCGGTGGCCGAGTCGCTTATTAAACGCGAGAGGTTAATCACTGTGAAGCAGAAATCTTTCTCGACTGTCCGGGAGTTAGTATTAACACGTTGGACGCCATTGGACTTCCATAGACAAGTAACGCTACTCAATGCGGCGACAACGGAATTGACCGGAAACCGAGAAATCAAGTCCACTATCCTTCTTATGTCTCAAACATCCAACAGAAATCGGTTCGTTCGACGCGTCACGAAGAAAGCTAACGTTTCAGTTAACGAAGTAAACGGTATCACGCGAATTCAGGTGACTTAACAAAGCGTCAACACATTGTACGCCGGCTTCAACGTCAAACCGAAAATTCTAACATACAAGAACAAACAAGGAATTCGATTTTCTAATTTTATGATTCATCGAACATATCTAAACTGTTACACTAATGTAGGACAAGCGATTACACGACAGACTAAAGATTAGACAGACATCCCGCATTATCGCGAGACGATGATCACGAAACGATCCCTCGTTTCGCGCGTTGATCAGCGATCATTGCTCACCGAAATGATGATCCGCGAGGATCCCCGGCGTCGCACGGTCGATCTCCGCGAGGACGAAAAGGAGTACAGCCAGTCGACCGCGAAGATTCATTTCCGGCGAGCAGAGTGCACCGTGTGTCTCTTCGTTCACCTCACCACTTCATGTTCGCGAAAATGAGAAGTCCGCGGGGACGAAGTTCAGCTCAGCCGAAAGGACCGCGAACGACACTGTTTTTGCGGGCACTGGCGACGAATCCTCCGCGCGTCTCAGCGGCCGATCATAGTCGAAGACCCGAGGAACGACGCGCCGAAGAAGACGACGAGGAGCCGACCCTCGCGCTGGACCGCTGAGCCGCGGAACGTGCGGATCCTTCGAAGGAGCCTGGAAGAAAGTGATCGTTTACGATCACCATCGAAGAAGGGGGATTACACTTACGATCGTGGCGAACGAATGGAAACTGGCGGAGCTCCGAACGGACGAATATCGCTCTCACTAACGAAAGTTACCGTAGAACGCTGCCGACTCTCGAGCCGGCTTCTCCTTATTCGCCGCAATTAGCCGGCACATCTATCGGCGGCGTTTACACTTTCAAACGGCCGCTGACGCGCGTTTTCGGCCCGACCGATTTATCACCGCGAGCTCTGTTTCCCGCTCGCGCGGATCGCTCGGAGGCGGCCGCTCGTAAAGCTCGTGATTTCCAATTGACGCCGTCTAATGAGAATTAACATTCGTCCGAAGACCGCTGTTTTTCCTTTTTTCTTTAACTATAAACGTGCGTGCGCCTATAAACTCGGCCAACGGCGCGATAAATCGGACGCTTTACGCGAGAAAAAGCTTGCCTCTATACGGGAACAGATTTAGACCGCGGGATTTCATCGGAATCCATTCGAGGGATCCGAATGAAGCCATAACCGATCGGTTACCTTTCTTTATGGTTCCGCCGCTGTCCGACGCTACTCTCTCTCCGCTTCCGATCCTTTTTGTTCCTGGCTTTTTTCGCTAGGGAAATTCTGGGCGGAATTATTCGGAAAAAAAACGGAACGGTCACTTTCATCGGGAGGGTTCGCGCGCGCGCGGCTGGGACTTTCACGGTCACCACTGGTTCCAGGAAAAAAAGACAATACCGTTTCGGGCAATTACGGGAACGAGGCGACGTGAAATTATTGGACGTCCGCGAGTGAGCAATAATAATCGGCCGCGCGGGGTTCCGGCGACCGCGCGGAATTCGAGGAAAATCGCGCGCACGCGCTCGGCACGCTTTCCCTCGCGATGGGAAAACGAACAACGGTGGACACACCGTGTTTCTTCGCTGAGTTACGGCCTCGAGCTGATTCCGCTGCGTATTGCGGGCCCCCGACGATCCGATTGCTCCTGGAATTCTTTGACGGAGGAGACTCGGGCTGCTCGTAAACCAAATCCGCCGATTCCGCGGAACGAAAACTGGAGTATCGACGACGGCGTGCATGGATTTTGGAGATTTCTATTTAACACTAGGTTTACGGAACCCGTCAATTTGACGGATACTGAATTTGTTAAGCGTTATTTAGTGGTAGTTCAAGTCGATCTTGATTCATGCAACTGTGCGAATACACATTACGATACTCTAATTTTGAACGTACAATTTAAGCGATCTATACGGATGAACACGTTTTCTAGAGCCAATAGAACAAAATGAAGAATAAACGTCCGTACATCTACTGTTAACACGTCGAATGTCGTACGATTTCATGGTACAGAGTACTTGAAATGGAAAAGATATAATATTAAATCATTCGATTGAGTTGCATTGTTATTCTTGCAGGTTCATCTAACTGAATGTCACCACATTAGTTAGCATTATTTATAATATAGAAATGTTTTCGAATAATCGTGGTTTAATTGAGTGAATTATAGTAATTCGATTTGGTTGGGGGTCACCGGTGACCCCATGCCATTCAACGTGTAACCCCTTGCCGTGCAATGACGAGTGAGACTCGTAATGAAGATTTCTAAACTAATTTAACAAGAATCAATGTTCTTCGTTGCCCGCGGATCAAAGCAAACAACTATTTTGCTATTATGAATGTATTATCTTCAAATGAAATTTCCACCTGGAGTAGAATGGAAAATTTTGTTGTATTTCTTACAAATTGTCGATAGCAAAATATTACACGAGCTTAGTAACGAAGGTAAATAGAGAGGTCAAGATCCTTCTTAATAATTGCTCCATCTTTCTTCTATCTTATATATCCAACAGAGTTTGACAAAATTGTTCGATACGTCATCAAGAAAACGAACCCTTTGCACTCCAGAAGTTTTTTACCGGAAATATTCAATATTTCCTAATGAGATACAGATGACATTTTCTTAGATTGAATTAAGAAATCTCACATGCATTCAGATTCACATCATTGATTGATAATTGATGCAGTGATGTATTAAAAATATTAAAATAAAATATCAAACTTTACAGTTTTTCTGTGTCAAATCATTTGGCGACTGAGAGGCGCCTCTGGAGTGCAAGAGGTTAACGTCCAAGTTTCTATGGAAAATGGCAGTCAAAGTGTTAAGCGAAAAGTCGAATGACCGTAATCTATCGATGTAATCTACCGATCTTTCAAGTAATCTTCATTACTGTCAAAAAGGAGTTTTCGACGGTAACATTTCCGAAGACACGTTCCGGGACTAATATAGTTCTAAATTCGATTCGCTATTTCAAGTAAAAAGGCATCCTTGCCCATTAAGAATATTTTTACGAACCACTGGAGCGTGCTGCATGAATCTGCATGGTCTTAATCTATTTCAGCTGCAACAAGCTTTCAAATAATACGCTTTTTACCATTCCGCGCCGCTCGTCGCGTTCGAAGTCTGCTTTCGAAATTCTTTTGGTCTCTGATTAGCCGAATTCCCGATCGTCGCGTCCCCGGGTAGTCAGCACCGTGTCCATCGCGTGGGATCCCCGAGGCGTTAACGCGGCGCGTAGTGAAACTGACGAATTAGATCTGGTCCGGGACGAAAATGGTGAAAGACGGGGGGAAAAAGAATTGGGCGGTGGCCTGGTGCCACACTCACGCGTGCCTCCGTGAAATTAAACGATTCGTAACGGATTATATATCAGCCGAGTCGTTACACTTCGCTTGCCAATGGAGAGAATATAATAAGAAACGGTGAAACGATGATCTACGAGGATTCTTCGGCGGTTCCGCGGCTGCTTTTAGCGCTCGAGAGAAGCCACGGGGAACAAACTTGTTCATCAGGGACAAAGATCGGGGAACTTTGCTTCTCGGCGAGCTCCGCCTCGGCTAAAATGGGTACACCGGCCGATCCGAAAATGTAGGTAGCGCATCCGAATTAATTAACCTACTGTCGCAACACGGGAAACAACCGAGTAACTTTGTTCATCGATTTATACGCCGCTGCGCGAGGATCCATCGAGGGATCGCGAGATTTCCGACGAGAAATCGTACGCGAAACGTGCTCCGAGTTTATGGAAAAACATTGTACGATCGATCTAGGCTCTAGTTTTGAAACGTCGAGCATCTACTTTTAGGACACATGCTTACTTTCTTCTGTGATGTCCTGTTTAACGCGTTTGGTACGGAATTTTTGTAAGAACATTTGTTGTGAGATACGTGTCAAAGAATTGTACGCGAAAGAAAAACGTAGTAATATGACAATATTACAGAAGTTTACAGAAGCTTGAATGTAATTTGATGTATTTAAAAAGTCAGTGCACTTTGTAAGAAAGATACAACCGAAATTTAACCCTCTATAGGCTCGTGTGACTTTGAATTCACGCATCAATATACCGGGTTAAATTGACTTATTTAATTTTTCATTGCAAAATGACGAACGACATTAAATAATTAATCAACTTAAACTTTCGTACACACAGGCATTCACGTTCGACGTCATTGTAACTTGAAAGTTACAAAACATATTCGTTTCAATAAAATTATTGAAACTATTGAATACATTGTTAATTTATGTTCATACGTTGGTATTCATTAATTTCATACTGCCTAAATTTTGTTATAATCACGAAACAAAATTCGGCCCATAGAGGGTTAACCGCTTGGCCTATGATTTCTTTCTGAACTCTGATCGATACGGCTACTTTGTCATTAATAATTTATTGGAAAAAGAGGAAAATTCTAAACATAGTTACGCCTATATCTCCGTTTAAGTATAATAGTTGATTACAGAAGAATAATATTTACTTCGAATTCGAATGAACCGAGTAATATATGTATTTGCTGAATCATGCGGAAAATCTTCATCACGAGTCTCACTCTCAAAATATTAGAAATTTAGATATTCCCATGGACATTAAAGAATTTTCTTTAGGAGAAATCCATGGTGGCTTGTAAGAGTAAAGTCGCAAGTTTGCGACGAGCACTTAGGGACACGGATAATTTTTAGGCCAAATATCTCGAGCTCGTATGAAATACATGTAATTAATTGGCTGCGTTACGCGCCGTTCACGCTCGCGTTGATTAACAGTCGCTAATTACATTAGGCGCCTAATACAACGTTATCGCGCAGCTGTTGTTGATGCCGTGCACGTGTCCAGAGTTTAGTAGGCGTTTATGATTAAATCGTATATTACGCGCGAAATGAAAACTTTCGCCGGCTCGCGGCCACGCGCGCCGCGTAAACGCGTTTCGCACGCTCGCCCCGTCGCCGCGCGTCGTTCGAATTGTTCCTTTCCACGGTAATTATTTTCGTGGCGGTGCCATTAGCTGATTAAGCACGGCAATCTCGGGGGAAACCAGGAAAAGGTGCGCCATTTAATGTCCACCGGCTGACCGTGTCATTTTTTCGAGCTCGATCGTCGCCGCGGGCGCGATTGTAATTGCGAACAAGAGAATTTCGAGCGAGAACATTCGACCGACCGTCGGAAGAACGTTACACTCGATAATTTTCAACGACATGCTTCGACCAGCTGAGAAACAGTCGTTTTCTAGAGGGATTTTTGGCCTGGCCGATTGTTGTCTCTGGCAACACGTATCGATACGTCTACATGGTACATCGTGTGTGTGCATGCGCCCTTGTGCACGATAATGGAGGGTTGTTCGATTAAAGAGGCGAGAGAGCCGCACGCACAGCACACATTTCTATCGTAATCAGCCGAGCACTTCTCTGCCTCTTCGCTCGCAAAGCAACCCTCGTCTTATTCCAGAATTTTCTACGACTACCTAATCACAATTTCCGACGAGCACATTTTCCATGTGATTAAGTAACGTCGGTAACGACGGCTAGATCATTCGATACCATCCGAACAACGCAGCTACTCGAACGGATGCGCGTAATCCTCTGAATTCGACGAAAACTGAAAAAAATACCGATCCCAGTCGAAAAGGAGGCGGTCGAATGTTGCTGCTCGCGACTATTGATTTTCGTACATCTATAGAAACATCACCATCCGATAAAACAGCGATGGACTGTACGGGATCATTTGGAATCACGCCAAATGATGCGTTTGGAAAGTTAAGCTGGCTATACTCTTCGCAAAAGCATTAGCGCGAATCGTCGTTCGTTCGGTACCGAAAACCGACGCGAGCATTTCAGGCGACTGGAACCGTTCGCAACGAACGGAGACGTTAAAAAGCAGTGCGAGATGAGTGAAATCGGTTCGAGCGCGCGGCCGGTCCGACGGGCATCGGTTCGCATTTCATTGTGCCTAAAGGCGGTCGGTGTGACAATACGAGAACGGAGAACGCGGCGAGCAAAAGGCACCGTTCACACGGTGCACAGCCGGGGCCTAGGCGGATGATGTTGACATGCGCGAGTCGGCCGAGGATATGTCCGTGAAACGAGCGTGCCGCGTCTCTCCCGTGGCCGCGCCGTGGCAGGGAGAGTGCACGTTCCTGATCAGTAGCACACTTTCATCGCGGCGAGGAAAGTGAGCTGTACAAACGTGGGAGCAACGGCGTCCCGTCTCGGTTTCGGCGTACGGTCGTCAACGGCGCGTCGGGAACGCGAACGAGCCGCGAGTCGTTTGTCGCGAGGAACGGGAGAGAGAGAAAGAGAAAGTGAGGGAGGAGTGTGCCGCCCCGTTTGCCGTGCCACAACGCGAGAGGAGAAACGTGTGCGCGTCTTCGTAGGGACGCGTTTCCATCGCACGGTAGAAAAGCCTTCCTCTTCGTCGTTTTTTCGCCGCTTCTCCTCGTCCGGCGGCAGCCTGGTGGCTCCTGCCACGCGCCGTCGAGGACACCCGATCGCTCGAGAAAGTCGACGGCGACCTCCGCGGAGAGCAGCTGCCGCGACCCCCTCGTGCTGCACGCCGACACTGACCCTGAAAGCCGGGAATTCGTTGCTCGGGTATCGGCGAGATCAACCATTGGGTCGCGTGAATCAGCCGAGGGATGATTCTCCGAGGATTGATCCTCTTCGGGGAAGGGTGATTCATCGGGGTGTCCGGCGTTGCGAATGAAAGGGGCGAGGGCGATCGAAACGGCGGCGGCGGCGGCGGCGGCAGCAGCGGCGGCAGTCACACACGCGAGCTCGTCCAACGTAAGGAGCAAACTCGGACGTTTAAATCGGACCGTGAAGGATCCCGGTCGGCGTTTCTCCGGCAATGTGGTTCTTGTTTGGAAGGAATGCATAGATTCAAGATGGCTGATAGCACCGCGTACCCGTAGCGATCGCGATACGCGATTGTCACGCGTCGCGGACGCCTCCGTACGCTACGTCCGTCGTATTTTATAAATATCCAGTCTCCCGTCTTTTTCTCGATCAGCGCCGGGAGACGGAGATACTCGCGCGCGCCTCGTGTGTCGTCGAACAAGCTCACGGTGCGTCTCGCTTTTCCGTTGTTGCACGTTTCTTGTTTCCCCGAGCCTCGCACGCTTCTTATTTCCAATTCCCCCGGAGCGCACGGGTCTTCGCGATTCGACCGACGTTATTCACGAAGCTATCGTTAACCTTGAGAACAAGTCAGTCGTTCCCCGGACGATCTCACCTGAAACATTGTTCGAAAGTTACTCATTGTCGGTTGCGTTCCCGGGATGGTTCAGGAATGATCTCATTTTTCGAGTAAGAATATTGGAAATAAACCGTCGCGTGGGCGTGCGAGTGGTTTAGTCTTTCTTTAGAGGTTCTTCGTGGAGAATAAAAGATGTTCGTTCCTCTAGTGAAGGGAATCGGGTTCGCTGGCAGCCACGGGATGAGTAGGAGCAACGAGAACGGTCTCTCTCTGGCGACGCCGCCGGCGATTCACGTGGGTCCGATCGTGAATCCAGGCACGAACGAGACGATCTCGATCGTGATCCCGCTGTCGGCTCAGCTGGCGACCGTCAGCGGCCAGAAGATGGACAACAAGCCGTCCTGCAAGGATTGCACGAAGGACGCGAAACCGACGACCCGGCTGCGGAACGACAAGACCAAGGGCTGCCCTTACCCGGGCTGCACGCGGTACGGCCGTGCCTTCTCCAGGGCGCACGACCTCAAACGTCACATCCTGCGGCACGAGATGAGGAAGGAGAAACTGTCCGATTACGAGAACGCGATCAAACCGCGGACCGCCAACGAACACGGTGAGAGTATAGCGTACGAGAGACAGGCTGCCTGGCCCGACGACGTGAATCACCGGGAGGCCAATGGGAAATCTTACAGCTGCCCCCATTGCAAGAAGAAGTACACCAGTGAAATCAAGCTGAGGGCTCACATAAGCTCGCACGAGAAGGTACGCGAATCCCCTAGTACGAGACTCTGTCTTCGACTATCGGGTCGTTCCACGAGTCGCTTTTCATCGTTGCAGCCTTTAGCAGTACCTGTAGAATCATTCGTTTAAGTTCGAGAGAAGCTTGTTGCTCGTAGAACGACTCGATACTCGATAAACTAGGATCCAATCCTGTCATGCTCCAATCTTTCAATCTTATTTTCTAGCTGACGGACAAGAACGTCTGCGCCCTGTGCGGGATCTGCTCCAAGGACGGAGAGGAGCTTCAGGAGCACATGAAACGGCACACGGCGAACTTGTTGGACGCTCAGTCGGTCCTCGGGAAAGACTCTGGGAAGGAGCAAGGCGAGAAGGAGGATGACTTCCTGCTGGAAGAGATGTTGCTGCTCCACAAGAATCCCCGGCGTCCGTTGCAATCCGACAAGCCGAACGGCTCGAAGATCCGCTGCGACTACTGCTCGAAGACGTTCAAGACGAAATGGACGCTGAGCTCCCACGTGGCGGCGCACGAGGGCCGTTTCCAGTTCGACTGTAATCAATGCGGGAAGAAATTCGTGAGAAAGAGCCATTACGAGGGTCACGTGCGGTCGCACGAGGCCGCGAGGCCGTACGTGTGCGAGCAGTGCGGGAAAACGTTTAAAGAGCTGAAGCACAGGCGAGAGCACACCAAGAGGAAGCACCCGACGAATCAGAACGCGATACAGAGCTTGCTGGACAGCATCAGCCCGTGCGCGTCCGAGGAGATGCCGGTCGATCAGACGAAATTCACGCTTCTGATGCCGGTGAATTTCTCCGTTTAAACGGGTCTCCGCGGCAAACCGGGGCGGACACTCGAATGGACCAAACAATGCAGAAGTTTCTTACGAAAGTCTGTTGCCCGTTCCATCGCGGAGAAAGTACTCGTTCGTCGGAACGAGTCGCTGACGATCGTCCTGTCTCGCAGCGGACTGGGGCGTCCAGGTCGACGATTCGCTTAATGTTAGTCGCGGCTAGACTGGACGGGGATTTATTTGTCACGCGCAAGTTCCGTTACACTCGTTTCCTTCTTACTCGCCCGCGGGGTTTGTATATTCCTTCCTGTCTGTAATCCAACGAGTATAACGTACACGCAGACCAAAGACAATCTTGATTCCGATCATCCTTTGAACTGTAAATATGATTCCAATAAATTCGAGCGAAAGATATCTGGCATTTTCAATGGTAGCTAGAGTGGTTCGGCGACGGATAGAATTCGAATGTAAAACCGTCAAGCGACAGTCGAACAGAAAAACAAAGAGAGAGAGAGAGAGAGAGGGAGAGAAAGATTCTCGATTGCGTCCAATATGTTGCTTACTTTATTCCGCTGTCTCCCTGGACCGTGTCGGACATTTCTAGTTTTATTTAAATTCCCTTTCTTCAGCGAGAACCGACGTTTCACCGAGCATGATCGGAACGAGGATAACGTTTTAGCGACGAACACGAGCGATCGGGGACTACGCTGAAACGGAGAGGTCTTTGGCGAACTGGCAGTCCCTTATCGCTTGCCTCCGGTTTTTAAATGAACGCGCACAAACGGCAGAAGGTACCCGCGACAAGATGCGAAGAGTCCGAAGAGCTACAGAGACATTCCGAGATCTCCTCGGCCCTACGGTCGAGCCACCGAAGACACGCGTTGAACACGCTTCCGCCGGAAGTATTGGAGATGATATTCCGACTGCTTCCGCTCCACGAAGTGGCCACCACCGTGCGTTTGGTTTCCAGGTGCGACACGCGCATTGACCTCGCGAAATCATCTTACTCTCTGTCTTTTTATGTTAACCTTACGCGAAGAAATACGTGGCACGTCGATACGATTTATATTTCCCAAGTACCGCGGTCTATAGAACAATCGTATCGATGTGCTATTTCGTTGCTGATGCTTTTCTTCGTTCGCTACGCGTTGTCGATCCAACGGCAAAGTTGTACAAAGCGAATCTGTCTATGCAACGCTGAACAAGGAAAACGGGTTGAACGCGACGACCAGAGAGAGGTTTCCTTTGGCATTTTCAGACACTGTTCAACAGTGGCGGCGGCAGTATTGAACACCGCGTTCCTCGCGGTTGGCGCGAGGTTAGAGGGTCTAATGAGTCGCGTGGACGAAACGATACGGCAGGTGAAAACGGACGAGGAAACGTTGGCCTGCAGCAGAGCGCTGAACGCTCTGGAGTTGACCAAGATGCAGTACAAGTTGCTCAGAGCTGTCACTTGGCGGTACACGCATCCGCCGTCGGAGAATCGCCAGTTCCCTCGGCTTTGTTTCTACGCTGGGAGCTTGCTCGATGATCTGAACGACCTGCTGAACCGGCTGGCCAAGTGTCACGCGCTTGTTGTCGACTCCCGCGACACGCTCTCCAGTGCCGTTGATTTCATCAACGTGTGCAAACGGTTCATGAACTTCTTCGAGAAAGTCTCCGAACGCAGGGTGAACAGGTGACTCTCTTTTGGCGCAGCTTCGTATTCGTTATCTAGACCAGAGTATAAAACGCGTATTTTCGATACCTTCGTCCACTGGAATCTACTAGACGTATATCTACGTTCTTAGATACTCTCTCTAGATGTAGAATATTACGCGGATCTCCTTATCCAAAGCACGTGTGACATAAAGAAATGATATCGGTAGATCGGCACTAATTTCCGGCTGTAAGGTCGTGGACGTTCTGGACTGTCTGATAGAGGGTAGGCAAGTATTGTCCTTGAAGGTGACGAAGAAACGAACCGGCGGTAATACCGTCAACATGAAGCTCCGATACGTGATGAAACGTGCCTGGTTCACGTGCCTGGCGGTCTCGAGGAATGCCGAAGAGAACTCCTGGAGGGACGAGCAGCGTTTCATGTATCTTAGGTTGCGCCGTTTAGTGGGCAGCGTGAACGAGCACCTGTTAGAGAGTTTACATTACGAGAACGAGTTACATTTACAGGTGATACTAGATGGGAAGAGGAAAGAGGCATTGATTTTCACAGGAACGAAACACTTCTATTCCTATCGTTCTGCCCTTTAGATACCTTTGTCATTCCCGCTGAAACCACCGCCAGCTTCCACGTACTCGGGATACGGAGAATACGGTGGCCAGTTCTTTTACTACGGTAATATGAACAAGTACGCGTACGAAAGTAAATTCGTGCACAACACGAATCCATTGAACGCCATGCACAACACCGAGCAACAGGTACAGTGGCCACCGTGTTTCGATTTGGTAATCGAGGTCGAGCTGAAGTGTACTTCCGAGTTAGCTCCGCTCGCGGTATGGCCGTTGTTAAAATCGGACGAGTTCGAGGCGTACGAAACGAGGAAATTCAAGGATCAGCAGCTCGTCTTGAAGATGACGGTGGTGTGTCCGGCGTCGGTAGCCAACAGATTGCCAGACACATTCGTCTGGGAGTTGCGTACCCCGCGACATGCACGGAAAAAGTCGTAACAGAAATTATATAGATTCGTCTATGTCTTGTATATTACATTTTATGCTGTTAGCTATACACCTATACACAGATGAAACATATTTAATAGTAGTAATTTGTAGAAAGATAATAAATACTTTTGTCAGTAAATCGACATTCGCAGAGATACACGTATATCGAGTAATTAGAATAAAAAGTTCTGATCGTAAAGGTTTATTTATACTGTACTATTGAGATATCAAAATTAATTCGAAGAGACCATTTTCAAAGGCGATTCCATTTTATCTTCCATCGATTGGTGTATCCAAGTTGTCTGGTTCAATTTCCTAGCTCGCTTTTCTAAAATACCAAACGCATAATGATTCAGAAGAATTCCTTTGGGTAACGCTATTCCTTGGAATCTGTAGACGTTGTCCGTTTCTGATATCTTGTGAACAGCGGTGATCGTACAGCGTCCTATCAAATTCGAATTCCCTACCATCGGACCTTTACTGATATCTATGTGATCTCCAACTCTGTACAATACAATCTTTCCATCGTTGGCTCTTACTATATTTGGTATTTGTTCAAATTTAATTGGATTATCTTGAAATATTTCCATGGCAACATCTTCAGTGGTTTCAAGTCTTTCCAAGGGTAGTTCTTGATTTACGAATTTTATAAATTGAGCAGACAAAGCCTGCATTTCTTCTTTGATAGGTCTCCAATCTGGCAACTCTATATATACATCGTACACAAAGCTTCCTGCTTTTATAATTGGTATTGGGAAACTGTGCAAATGAACCTTCACCTCGTCTTTAAACGAAGAATCTATAACAGCACCCAACAGGAATGAACAAGTTCGCCAAAATGCTACATTTACAGCGTTCACTTTAGGGCTGAGTAAACTCAATAATTCTAATTTACAATTAGATGTCAAAGGTTTATGCATGTCCCATGGTGACCCATCAACTAACGCAAGGGCAGATACTTTGACAACACCTTCTGAAATATGTTTTGCACAGTCTGCGGGCGTTGATAAACATTTGTTCATTACAAGAGTAATCTCTTCTACTGGAGACACATAGGTGACTTCTATTTTTTCTATTCTTCCTACAGCTGATTGTTGTCTCTTCTTTTCTTTATCAAATAATAAGTTTTTCTGTTCTTTTATTTCAGTTTTCGACAATGTACCTTGACATGTTGTTTGGAAACTTGATTTTTGCAATCTTAGAACATTAAAGCTAAGAATTCTACACCTACAATTAATTTCGGATATAAGTTCTGAACAATGAATTATTGTAATTTTATGAAATACATACCTCTGAAACATGTTTAAGCAAATATATATTGTGCAAGTAGCTTATAATATGTATTAATGT